CCACCGGGAACTGGGTCTGGTTCCTGAGTATCAGTTTGCTCATCAAGAAAATGGGAACGCACGAGGGCAGGGGAGGAGGGTGGGGAAAACAAGAGGAGCTGACACCAAGGGCTCAATAGAAAGTACTTGTCTAGAAAAGAATGATGGCAACATATGTACAGCTATGCCTGATACAATTGATGTATGGATTGAACATATGTACAGCTATGCCTGATACAATTGATGTATGGATTGTAATAAGAGTTGCAAGAGCCCCCAGTAAAATAATCTTAAAAAAGAAAATGGGAATGACAGTGATCATGCTTATCTTGCTGGTCTCTTGAAAGGATCGTGAAACGCTGGAAATGGAAAATCACTAGTCCAAAAATACACTACTCAGAGCAGAGGCGCCTGGATAGCGCAGTGGTTAAAGTGCTCAACCGCCACCTGAAAGTTGAAACTCACCAATGGCTCCGCTGGAGCAAAGGGGTGGCAGGCTGCTTCCCTAAAGATGACATCCCCGGAACCCTGGGAGGGAGCTGGGCAGGGTTGCTATACACTGGAATGCACTCGGTGACCATGAGGCTGACTCCTGTTGTGGAGGTGGTTAGATGCCTTTGAGTTGGCTCTGTCTCATAGTGACCCTCTATACAACAGAAAGAAACACTGTCCAGTCCTGCGCCATCCTCACAATTGTTCTTCTGTCGGAGCCTGTGGTTGCCTCTTTTTCACTGTCCCTCCGCTTTACCAAGCATGTCCTTTTCCAGGCACTGGTCTCTCCTGACATGCCCAAAGTCCACGAGTCTGGCTCTCCTGGCTTCCAAGGAGCATTCTGGCCGGACTGCTTCCAAGACAAATGAGTTGGTTCTTTTGGCAGTCCATGGTGCTTTCAAGATTCTTCGCCAGGTGGGTTTGACTCATGTTGTTATTGTTGTTGTTGTTGTTAGATGCCAGAGTCGACCCCAACCCATTGTGACCCTATGCGTAATGGAAGGGAACACTGCACCCTCCTGCTCCATCCTCACAGTTGTTCCTGTGCGAGCAGCCACTGTGTCAATCCAACTTGTCAAAGGCCTTCCTCATAGGAGACCTGGAATCTTTGTCTTCTAATTGGGTCACAATCTAGCAGGTTGTTGCTAAGACCCTCCCAGTTCCCGTAACAGGACAGCAGCAGTAGGTTGGTGGGTCTAGTTCCTTTGGCCAATCAGCTGATTTCTATGGTTCCATCAGCTTCATAAGCCCTGCCCAAGCCCTCCTAAGCCACTGCCATGCAGTCGGTTCTGACCCATAGAGACCCAATAGGACTTCGTAGAACTGCCTCATTGGGTTTCTGAGACAGTGAATCTTTACAGGAGTGAATGGCTTCACCTTTCCCCAAGGGAGGCTGGTGGGTTTGAATGACTAACTAGCCCAACAAGTAACCCACTACAACCCAGGACTCTCTCAAATCTCTTGAAGAACCATTACACACACACCTTGGTGCCTCCATCCCCCTTAACCTATATACACACACACACACACTCACTCTCTCTCTCTCTCCTAGCTGCACCTGCTCCTTTGATCCCTCTGTATTTACCTGCAGGTGTTACCTTTAAAACAGAAACAACAAACAGCCTGAATTGCAGCTATTGATGAGGTGCACCCCCAGAAGGCCGAGGCCATGGAAGAGTCACAGACCACTGGGTTTAGAACAGGACTTCAAGGCCACTTTATGAAGCAACTCTCTAACCCCTCTCCCAGCCCATCTTGTATACCAGGAAACTGGAGGCCAGGTCGGTCAGATGGCCCACACTGGTGCAGACAGCAAGTTCTCTTTCATTTGGGAAATGTTCTCAAAGGAGATTAACGTGAGTAATTCTATCAACATCATATGGAGCCAATGATCTTGCTTTTCTGGGTCCAGTCCATTCCAACTGTCTGGAACCCGACAGAACACAGAACAGCCCCAGAGAGATTCCAAGGCGATGCATCAATGACCTCTTTATTTCAATATGTGTGGGTTTTCCCCTCTCAAAACCGAACTCACTGCCATCGAGTCAATTCTGACTCAGAGGAGCTCTAGAAGACAGACTATGACTCTCCCTGTGGGTCTCTGAGACTCGAAACCCAAATGGGCTCCCCCTTGGACAGAAGGCTGGTAGTTTTGAACACCTGACCTTGCAGTTGGCAGCCTAATGAGTGAACCCACTGAATCAAAAGAAACAAAACCCTAAACGTCCTCGCCTCACAAAGCTACTACAAAACTTTTAACCCAAGAATTCACCCAACTAAGGTGACCAGATTTTAACATTGGTAAAGCGGGACACCATTGATAAAACTCATATCCTGGTGAAATAGCCACATAGCAGCCGAAAACCGTATACCCTAGCTTGTCGTGCATTCTTTCCAAAAATCGGGACTTTTTTAAAATGCCGCTGGACGCGGGGAAAAAATTGTTAAAAATCGGGACTGTCCCACCAAAAGCAGAATGTCTGGTCACCTTACCCAAAGCCCATTTGTTGTGTCGCCCTGAGTGGACTACCCTAGTCATTCACCAAGTAGAAAGAAGCCACTTGGCCAGGAGCAGGATGATCCATTTGGTTTAGTCTCTGGCTGCTGGCTCTGACGCCCTTGTCTGTTATCAATTTCCCAACATAGTTTTCTAGTCTGGAAGAACATCTAGCTCGCTGAAGCTGCAGGGGCGTGGAGAGGAGATCACGAGAAGATTACAGTTTAGCTCCGAGCCGGCGTTCTATAATTTCGTTGTTTGGGGGCATCCTCCCTGCCTCTCCTGAGCAGGGAGCCGTCCCTGCTCGCTTTACTGACCTTAGACCTTAGGCCACTCTGGCGCTAAGAATGCGCGAAGGACCGGACAGCCCTCCGCGCCCCCGGACAGCTAGCCGCGCCAGGCCTAGAACAGCCTCTCCCCACCCCCACGCCCCAGGAAGACAGTGACTAGGCCGGAATTCTCCTGGTTGATAAATGAGAGGCGATGAGACGCTGCGGGGATGACTGCCCAGAGTCCGATTTGCAAGAAGCGCATCTCTAACCCACATGGACTATGGAGATGCTTTGGGCAGCCGAACGGATGGGGGCGATGGGATGACTGAGCGATGCTCCCGGGAAATGGGCTGGAGGTGCCCAAAGAGGGAACTTTGAGAAGGCAAACCCAGGCAGCCTCTGGGGAAGCTACCTTGGCGGTAAGCAACGAACGGAGGGATGGATGGCAAGTGCCCAGGTTGGGTTTTCG